AAATTCGCGTCAAGCGTAGTATATATGTATGTAATTGAGGTTTCCAAAACCTGTTTAATCTACTCAATCGGCTCGTTAAAATCAAACTTATATACAATTAAATATTTAAAAGATTCCTACAAATCAACTGATACTTCAATATTGCGCAATAATTATATGAAATGAAAAATTTACACATGAAAGTTAAAAAAAAAAAAAATCCAAATGTACTTAGTGAACACCCATTTTACACTACAACATTGTGTTGCATGCTGCAGATATGTTTCGTTGGTTAGTTGAAGCGTGTAAAAATGTATGCTGTTATGTCAGGATGACTGTCTAGCTGTCAGACTGGCACACTAATAGACTGCGTGTTCGACTATGGTGGCAAGGTGACAGCCACTGGCGCTCCGGCTTTTAAGTTTTCTTGCTGTTTAATACGTTTACTTAATTCTTTCACGATGCAGCCCTCGCCAATATTTTGCCAGTAGCTAACAGTTTGGATAGCAAGTATGTTGTTGTAAATGATACATACACAAAGCTGGTGTGTATGTTGCTATAGGGTACAGTGGCTACAAATGTATACTCAGTGGGAAGTGTGTGCTCGGCGAGTATGCTCTTGATGTAAGTTGTGGCAAAGTCGATGGCAGCGCTCTGGGCAACACACACAATTCTACATGCTTACTGCTTTCCAAATAAATGTTGTGTTTGTTGTTGTAAACCCTTTAAGTGCATTCTCTTGGCTTATGCGTGTGTGTGTCTAGTGGATATTTAAATTCTACAATTTGTATGTGTTTAAATTGAAGCGGAAATGTTATTAACTTGGAAATGAATTGTTCTTCGTATGCAAAATGTGCAGTATCAATAATATTTTAAACTCAGGTGCAAATTCTTCGCTGAACTCATTTTAACATAATTGTTTTAATTAATTGTTGCGAAGCCAGTTTAATAAATTTGACTTCAGCAGCTCAGTTAATAAAACTGATACTATTTTAATTAAGCAAATTTAATTTTCATTCAATTGAAATTAAATATTTGCGATGAAAATTGTAGGATATTCTAACTTTGTTTAGTAAAAACTGAAGAGATTTTTTGAGTGGCATATACAGCGGACATTGTCATTTTAATACAAGTAAGGTGTCTCTCCATGGACTACAAGTGAACTAGTTAGCGTCTACCAACTATACACCTCTTCACTGAAAGGCGCATATCAAAATCAGGGGCGCGACTACTATTTGCAGAAAAATTTATTATTATATAGAACCATCGGGTATAGTTCGGTAGGTAATGGTGGTTTGGCAAACATTGCAAAATATGGCTTGGTAACAGTGCGCCTTGTTGTAGTTGAGAAGTATTTCTGTAGCTAGGGTCTGACAGCCTTCAAATTGGCAGTTCTACTAGGGATGGGGGTACAATAAGGACTGGATCAATGTGTCATGCAACCCATGGTGAGGATCAACGTGGCTAAGAAGCCTTAAACAGCTTATAAATCGACGAGAGTTAATGGATACCTATTGGTTTCCGTAATAAGATAGCCTTAATGGCGCAGTGGGAGCTATGTGCAATCTTACCTACTTTCCCCACACTCGTGGGTTGAAAATATACGAATCAAATAAAGAAAAAAGAATTGAAGAAGTCTGGCTCTTCTGTAAAACTGCCGAAGAGAACCAATTCTACCGAGAAGAGGGCAGTGTAACGAGCTCGAAAATAGCGAGCACAAGGATAAAAGCGAAGTTTAGTTTAGGTGCAAGGATTGGCACCAGCACAGCAGTTGAAGTTAAGGCTTCACGAAGACTAAAACAAATTAAAACCTTTGCTGCTAGTAGTAAGTCTTCCAGGGTATAACCTATACTTAAGGTCGATGACCACGCGAAAGAATGGTATGCGGGAATGTGCCGAGCTGCCTATCTGAGGTAGCGGGCAGATCAAAATGATAGCATTGCTAGCGAGAGATCGGTCCAGCTTTATAAGGCCATGGCTTTAAGAGTAGATCTCGAAGCCAAACTGGCAGCGATCGACAATAAAGATATCTCATCGAGGCCAAGGTGAGGAGTCTAGATCTCGGGCACACTATCACAAACAGTCCAGATAAAGTGGCTTAATTGTAGTCTATAATCCAAATTTGTCAATTGAGTGGTGGAGATTCATTAAGGCTTTCGAGAACACCGTAGCAGCATCTAGTGTGGACTAGGACATTCAGAATGCAGATCCTGCTGTTACTAACAGAGTGATATAAAAAAAACTGCTAGCAAAAAATTACTGATTATTATCAAACATCGGCAAATGACATGAGTGAAGTCGAAGCAGATCCATGTAATTCTCGAGTGATGCAGAAAGCATTGAGCAAAGTGCGTGTTCTTCGGGGTCGTAGACAAACTAAATTATATGTATATGGCTCTCGCTGCTTGTAGATATTTAAATATAAAAATGTCGTAAATATAACTGAGTCTTGAAGGTGTCGGTCTCTAACGCATTTATCAAACAGGTAAAGGTGGTATGGTTGGAATATGTGCTGCACATGCCTTCATTAAAGATCAAAAGGAATGACATAAGAACTCTAGTAGGAGGAGTGCTAACAGGTCATTGTCTAATGCGAACAGCATGCAAAACCTACTGTAGGAGCTGTTAGGAGGGAGAATAAGGGGCGAGTATAAAATATTTTATATGTTAATGAAAACTTTGTATAGGAGAAGAACTGCAACCAGCGGTCAAAGGTTTCTTGATGATATTTCGGGCAACGCACTTTGTTTGTTATTGAGGACTTCATCAGCCGCACAGGGTGGTTCAGAAAAGACATAATAGAGTGAGGGGATTTTAGTCGGGGTTGCTGCACAATGCGCATTCTAAAGGCCTAGGCGAATTGTCAGACATCCATTGTACCTACATACCTCTTCTAAGATATCTGATATCTTAAGATCTCCAAAAAAAATCTCTACTCTACTTTGAGGTTATGCTTAAGGATTCAACAAACGGAGACTTACCGCTGCACCTTTATAAAGAAAGACTGAAATACGCTGGTAATGTTGATTTGAATATATCGCCAATTCATTCGATAATGAGAACAGGAATTTAAAGACTAGCAGATAACAAAATGCTGTAGAAGCATATCTTATGATAGGTTATGCGCACCTGCCGCCAAAACAGTTGAAAATTTAAAAATATAATTATAGTTTCATCTTGTCAAAACATAATTTTCCTCGGATTATACTTAATATCTATAAACTCGGTAGAGCATTCAGCTCATAACAATTTTCACAGACTCTTTCTCCAACACGACAACAATTAGCCATTAAGGCAATGCCTACAGTGAGACGCAATGCAAATGGTTTTGTCACACATTTCCATAATAAAAGCCTAATCCTTAATGTGTCTGCATTTTCCGCAGCTTAAAATGGAATGGCAAAAGGAAATAACAAAGAGCTGGCGCCCATTGTAGCAATGATTATCTACAATGGACCATGACTAAAAGCGACCTGCGAAGCTTGTACCAATTTGCGTGTGAAATCCCCCGAGAAACAGTTTGTGTATGGCTGTTGACATGTTAAGCGAAAGCCGCTTGGTTAATACAAACACATAGCCACAAGCTAGTGCGCGTGTGTGTGGCACTTTTATATAAGTAAACAAGATGGCGTTGAAAAGCCAGCGCCGCTACGTGGAAGCGTACTTAATGCATGGCAAATTATTATTTCAACAATTTCACACGTACTTTCTATTAAAATATAATCCGCCCGTTAAGTAGGCAACGCACACACACATTTAACTTTTCGCGTGAGTGGCGATATGCGTTGCGTATACGCACTGTTGACGCTAAGGGCGCCAGCAAGGAAATTGCCGGCAACGCTGCACAAACGGTATTTATTAATGTCTGACGCGGTCACTGCGCCTATGTGTGGCGTAAAGCGGTATTTTATGACGGCGGCAGTGCGTGCCTTTGCAGCAAATCTCAGGTTACAACAACTTAAGTGCTTTGGGCTTATGCGACGCGTTGGCTTTCACGCAGCGCGAGTTGCGCGCGGTAAATACATATATTGAGTGGGCCAAAATGTAAATAAATATTTGTTTCTGTTTGCATGTGTATGTGTGGGTGTGTTTTTGAGGTACCCTACTTTTCACTTTGTTTTTGTTTTACTACCTGCCTTGCTTGATATATTTATTTGCCATGAATAATAGGTTAGCGCGTCGGTGAGCGCTGTCGCAGCTTTACCAGCGAAGGCCGCGCGCTCACCTTGTGGCAGCACGGCGCGCAGTTCGAGGTTGTTATAAAATAATTTAACTGCTGTGTACTTTGTGAAATTTAATTACGCACGTACGCATAACCAAGCCATCGGGGGCAAAATGCAGGGCAGTGGCACACTACTCAAATTCCGAAATAATGCTTTTCCGTTAGGTAACAAGCGCAGCCAACTAAGCGCGCGGCTATGCGGTAATGAAATTCGTTCTAATTTAAATAGATACGCCGAAAATGTTGTGCGGCCAACGCACTGACGCATACACAGCAACAGCGCGCGCGCTCTCCTCTGCCGCTTGCCGTGTTGGCATAAGCTACTGAGGCATTAATAAACATTTATGAACTCGTTCACGCAAAATATGCGATTTTTCACTGGGTGTGCTGTCGCGCACATAAATTTGGCGTAAGTGTTGCCAGCATGGCAAATTATGCATTTGAATTAGCGCTAATTTCCATTACGCACACTAAATGCACTGCCGGTCTCATTCGTTTAAGTGCGCGCATTTATCATGTCGGCTATATATACGGTTATATATTGGCTAGCTGCCTATAGCGTTGACCTTTTGCGCAGCTATCTATAACGGTATAGTTGTCACGTCGCTTTTGCATAAAATTTGCGCGAGTAAATTTGTTTCGTCGGAATTTTAAATACATATTTGTCGTTGTAATTTGTGTTGGTGGCACGTGCGCTTGGCTGTGTTGTTGCAGCATGGTGGCAATTAGTTAGCTTTGAACCGTTGCGCCGTTAGTTGCGCACTGGTTTTAGTAGTATTCTCAATGGTTATTTACTTACCGTTATTTTCAGTCTCGCTATGGGCGGCGACTCCAGTGACTCGAGTATTGCTGTGGCACTATTATAATTGCCCACAAGCAGGCAGTACTGCGCGACACCACTCCAGAGTTCCACCGTTTTACTGCGATCACGTATGCCGATACACTGTGAGAAAGTAGAGAAAGAGAGTTAAAAAAGTTGTTTGGTTAGTTGTTCTAATAAAATTTTAGTAGTTTTAGTAGTAAGTATATATATTTTATTGAAGCACTGAATGTCAGAACTAAAAATAATTTGACGAAAATCTTTCAAGACCCATTCCATTCAGCACTTTGAAAATTAATAATGAGATTTAAGCGTCTATTTCAAGATCCACTTTGCCTATATTAGGTTAGGTTAGATGGCAGATCAAAGATCACACGTGGACTACTACATCTAGTTTTCAAGCGCGGGTTAGTCAAGAAGGAAGTATTGTGTTGTTTCTACCTCATCTTCTTCCATACAGCTTCGGCAGATGACATCTGTCACGATTCCCAGTCCTACTGCGTGGACGCCAATCGCCAGCTATCTAGTAGTAGACAACAGGAGAGTATGGGAGTACCGACCTGTTCCCATTCTACCGATAGCGGTTTTTGGATGCCTTTTCTTGCTAGCTTATCAGTTTTACAGTTTCCTGCGATACCGCTGTGGCCTAGTTTCCCATACCAATCTTATCACAAAGACACTCGAACCTGTTGATAGCAAAGTTATGTACTCCTTGACCAGGCCCGAACGCACTTTTAGTGAGTTCAAGGCTAGTATCTCCGCTCTGCTATCTGGATGTTCATTTCTTTGAAGGAAGTTGTACGCTGGCGCAGTAAATCTACTGCTTCTTTAATGGCTGCAATCTCGACCTGAAAGACAATTGTCAAGAAGTCTGAAGTTGGAGTTGATTTAGAGCATTTGACAGAAAACCCCTCCACCAACATTTTCCCAAACCTTTGAACCATCCCTAAATCCCAATGGCTTTTTCCCACCCACAACTCTCCCGACAGTATATAGGTAGAGAAAGAGCCGTTTGAATTCGTTTTGGCGACTCCATGATCCGGTATGAAGTCAAAGTGTTTGCGGATTTCAGAGTGTTCAGCTGAGATTCCTTTTCTCATACACCTTCTGACGATGTCTACGTGCAATGGCGTTGAGTACCATGGTTGGAATGGACCTTTGTGCACCACATATGGTCTCTAGTTTCTTTGCTAGTATGGTCTTTTTTAGAGCCCTCTTCCACATAAAGACTCCATAGATGAGTTGACTATAATGTCGTAGAGCCAGGAGACCACTTTAGTTTGAGTGACTTCATCTTTTGGAAATGGCTTCTCTACAGAAGTACAAGGCAATTAATGCCTGTTTTGCTCTCTCTCCAATATTCGGATTCCTTGAAAGCTTCCTATCCAAGCATACGTTTGAAGGCGAACCACCACGTAAAAAACCTTCCAATTACAAGAAGAAAACCACGTCGGAGGAGAGCGTTTCTACGCCAATAAAGAAGAGGAATAATATTCGTCCGGTGAAAGGCTTCTGTATTTCTGATAGTATATTCCAACAGCTGATAATCCGTGATAATCCTTAATCCTTGTAATCATACAGACCTAGACTTGAGTAATTAGAGATCATCGTGAAACTAATAATTTTGAGGAGAGAGGACCAACTCCACAGATTTATTGTTTTCGATACCTCAAAAAGAAAAACGATATAAATATATTTGTGCAGAAATTACACAAAACCTAGTTAAGGTTTATTTCTTGTGATCCTAATTATAAGAAGTCAATCTTAAATATATAAAAATAAGCAACTAACTCTCATATGTAATTCAATATCCAATTATTTCTATTGCCTTTTCACAAATTATATAAATTCTAGTTTAATTTGAATTTCAGCAATTATTTTGCAAGTGTTTGCCCTGAAGCTTGCATGGGGTCACCACGTTAGTGCTCTGCTTGAGAATTCACTAAGTTCGTATTTTGATATATTTGGTGTATGGCCGGTGAACCTTTATTGCCCTTACTAGTTGGTATTACTTTCACTAATTGGGATTGTGGTTATTAGTTCGGGTGACGAATAAATTGCCTGCGCTTGTGCCACACCAACTCGAGCTCAAGCAGATATGTACAAATATATCATTGGTGGCACTAGGGTGTAAATAGCTTAATTACTGCAGTGCCTTCAAAACTGCCAATGCTCTCATTACCGAGCGATGCCAGCAGAATTGATTTAGGTCCGAATGTAAGAACATATGCACATAAATATCCATTTTGTATATCATCGCTTGACTAGGCCGTTACGTGACTGTGAGATTGTCATACATATGTATGCCTATGCACAAGTGCTGCTAGCAGATAGCTTTACACTTAAGTGTCCACACTCACAGCAAATGGCTAGCGAATTGTTATGCAATATTCAAGTTCGACTATCAGCTTGAGGCATTTCGAATGATTTGTAAATTTGGCTGTATCGATTTCTCAATTTGTTTTACAGCGCATTCCAACCGAATTTGGCTTACTTGTTTGTGTACGCGTCTTAGAAGGGCAGTGCAAATATATTTAGCTTCGTGAATATATACTGTTATATGGGACTCATATATATATATATAGTCGTCAATATTTGCCTGCTGTTCATTTGGGCAAATTTAGCAAACCGAAGTGAAGCAAATATTTGTATAAGCTTGAGAATTGTGTTGAAGGCAGTATTGGTTCAGGTGGGCGGATAGTGACTACTTTGGTCTCTCATTATAAAAATATATCTTTCGACTGAATAATAAATTTTATATATTATATATTAAAAAAAGCACAGTTCGGTCTAATGCTGAGTTTGCCGCAAAATTCACAACACTAAGTAGGAAGCACGGAAGACTTTATAAAGTATATATAGGATGATTCAAGTAGAGATACTTGAATAGAAGAGCAACCAGAGGAGATTCAAAAGCTGTAATTTTCTTTAGAAAAAATAACGGTTTGACGTAGTTTGTGGGCCGATGGAAGCTCGTAATTTCGGCGATATACTTTTACGGTTTCGACAAGATGGCGCTGCTTCGCATACATCACATCAGCCAATGTATTTATTGAAAGAAAAATTCGGGAAGCAGATAATTTCACGGTTTGGCCCGATCGATTGGCCACCAATACCGTGTGATATCACACTGCTAGACCTGTGGGGATATGTAAAATCTAAAGTTTATGCAGACAATTGTGCTTCGATTGCGGCTTTGGAGTAAAATATCAAACGTGTCATTCGCTAGCTACTAATCGAAGTGCTCGAACAGTCATCGAAAATTGGTCCCATCCGCGACATAGCCTTGGCCAACATTTGAAAGAAATAAACTTCAAAACAAAAAAAAAAAATTTCTTTATGTTTATGTTGTCGGAATTGATTACATCAGATCATCATAATATAATATATAGTTGCCTAAAAACTGACCGATCAAAATCAAGTTCATGTAAATGTTTCTTGATTTTTTTTTTGTTTTATAAAATATCTTCACAAACTTTGTCAAGGATTATGGTTCAAGACACTCTGTAAACATTCCCCTTATGGATCAACATTCAGAGCTTGTAATTAAGTGATCTTATATTGGCTTGGGCTGGATGAGCTACGACATAGTCTATACAACCTCATAAAGAGATGGTTAGGGGAATACAACAGCCTTTGGAAGTGAGTATAAAACGATAGGGGTGGAGATTCCCGTAGTCAAAGCTCATATGGAGACCAATTAAGAGGTGAAGTGGGCTGAGATATCAGCCCAGACGTCGGTGGAAGATAACGGAAAATGAAAAACAGTTTGCGTTATTCTGGACAGGTGAAGGGTTTTCCAACTCAGACATCAAGAGTAAACGCATGTAGAAGTCAAGACTCAAGGCTAAAGCGCGTTACAAGATGGTGGCCGGGATATGTAGCCTACTCAAGGGCAAGTCGAACCTAAAGGTGGAAGAGGTGAAAAGGTTGGCTTGGGCTAGAAAGCTGGTTAAAAACGGCAGCACATCGCTTGAGAAAGGTATCGTTCGACAGAGAGAGAAACAAACATATTCTTACTAAAGAGAAAAACATGAACCTGCGCAGAAGTTGAACATCAAGCGCGGGGACAACAAGTCGACACCGCCCAAGGCAGCGGCTACTGGCTACAGCCAAAACGATAACAGATCGTGGCATTCAAAGATCGTAGTAATCTGCTGAGACAGATGTCGCAGGAACGGTGGAAAATAGTGGGGATGAGAGCTCTAATCGAGGTTTCAGGCGCAAACCACCCATACCGTCATTTGATAGTACCGAACCGTGGGGAACTGCATCCACATTCCATATAACTTCAAAAAAGAATGTCACGGATTGTTGTCTAAAACCAACCTAAAATCTCTGAACAAAGTGTTGTAATCGACCTACTAAATATATATATATATACACTGTAAACTGCTCAAGATCTATTTAGATTTCTTTATTATAGATCTCTGCATATTTAGTGAATTTCTTGCAGAGGTCTAATTTGCATTTCATCAGGCGCTAATGCCTGATTTTCTTTCTGTGTGCTGGCTCACTTTAGTTCTACTTTCTTTAATTACGAGAAAAACCAATAAAAAGTGCTGCAAGCACTGGCTTCCTTATTGAATTATTTTGTATCTAAGCGGACAAGTGACATATTTTATACACCAGGAAACACAAACACAAGCATACTTTCAACTTGCTGCCTCATTTTAGCTTAAAGGATATTAAGTAGCTAAGTTTCGCACCACATGTTTATTTGTGTGTGCGTGCATAAAAAATATTTATGCGAAGAGACGGAGTATTTTTGCTAGAGCGATGTGTAAGCACAGCGCAAAAAGGATGCAAGCAGGTTGGATCTACCGGCTACGGAGCATGGATCATTTACTGCAGACTACCAACTGCTTTTCCAGTGCTTATCACCACAATTGTTTGTGTATATGTGTGTGTATGTATGTGACTACAGTGAGAAGCGCGCATTTGTGTTCGTCTGTAAGAGCGCATGTAGTACTCAGATTTAATTAAATTTTCCATTACAACAAGGCCAGTAGCAGAATATGAAATGTTTAATGTGGTATAGGGCAGACAAATAGGGTTATACGCTAAAGTAATGGAAGCGTGTGTGTTTAATACATATGTTGTAAGAAGCATCAACGGCAGTGGCGTGGACTGAGGCAAGAAGCTGCTGAAGTGCGGTAATCAGAGCCGAGTGTACAATGAGAAAGAGCATGTGTTGCATGACAGGCATATGCATTGCCTAGTTTGTGGCGCTTGTGGCATGTTGCAAGCAGCCAACTGACCGAATTTATGACTTGAATTGCAGCAGTGAATTGCGATTGTAAAGTGGCGTTGATGTGATTTAAATTTCATGAAAATGAAAATTACATATCGCCGAAAATGAAGCGAGTGCAAGGAATGGCAAGTAGATTGGCGGAAAGGCATTGCTGATAGCTTCAAATCAGCAGTTGCCGGTTAATGTGTTTCAAAATATATAAATTTGCAAATAAAGGTGGTTGTGCTGTGAGAGGGATGTTGGAAAATGGGTGAGGTAACAATTTTGTGCACAACTGAGACTACTCGCGGAGCTGTTGGAGGCAGGTTTAAGCTTTAGACTATGTCTTTGCTTATATTTAAGGTTTATGTTAAGACAGTTGGTGCCTTACTTTCGCATATATTTATTTCTGCTATGTTTAGGAAGAAGCTTCTTAGACTTATCAACAATGAAAGCATATAATGGTTGCTTTAGCTGCCTTTCAGAAGAAAATAGTAAAATAATCCATAGCTTAGCTTCCATATACGTTGAAATTCCCGCTCGTCCATAGAAGTCAAACGTTGGTCGCTGCAGCTCTCAAACGTGGTTGATATTTGTATGTGTAAATATTTTCAATCCAACATTGTCTGTTTTGCCATCAACACATTGGTGTCGTCGTAAATTCTACGCTTCCGCCATGTTAAGCCCATTCATCAGCTACAACAGCACGGAAATTGTAGAAACAGTTAATTTACCTGTATTCCCAATTGATTCTGTTTGCACTCACGTGCACAATCAGACCTGCTCCTATACGCATGCTACAATACAAGTATGTGTCCTTACTGACCACACATTCACTTATGTAAATGTGCGACCACACATGCGGCTGTGGAAGGAATCGCTGTCCTGTGTCTGTTGATCCCGAAGGCTTTTGTATTTTTCCTCCGCTGTTCTGGCTACAGGGTACAAATGCTCAAAGTGTTTTGGTCTTTATGGGTGTATTAGCAAAAACCAATTTAATTTTAATTCTATGGTTCAAAAAAACTAGGTAAATTTTTCTTCGATTTTGGTCCATAATTAGACCCCCAGCCGTTCACTTTTTGAGATATCGATTTCATATTTAGCATATGACTGTTTCTTTACAAGGAGCTACCTATTTGTCGGTATTGCTGATATCGTGCTACTATAAGACATCGCTGTCATTGAAAATGATCGGTCAAAATAAAGTCCTTGAAAGGTAAAATTTTTTATTTGCCAAAATATTTGCACGAAATTTATTTTAGTTATTGTCTATAGTAATCTTAAGCTTATATTATCTTGAGAGAAATTATTTACATTGGTTCACTGTAACATATAGCTGATATACAAGCTGAACGATCGGAATCAAGTTCTTGTATAGAAAACTTTTTTACTTGAAGAGGTATCTTCACAAAATTTAGCTTGAGTTATCTTTCAAAGCAAGGCTGTGATCTCCAAAAATTATATTCAAATTGGACTACTATAGCGTATAGCTGCCATACCAACTGGACTGCCAAAATAAGGTTCTTGTATGAAAAGCTTTTCTATTTGTAGAGGTATTTTCATGAAATTTTGTTTGTATTATTGTCCAAGAAGGCGCTACAATCTCAGAAGAAATTGTTGAGAACGAACGACTATAGCACATATCTGTCATACAAACTACTTGATTAAAATCAAGTCCTTGTATGGAAAACTTTTTCATTTGCTAAGATATTCATTAAATTTGGCACAGTGTTGTTGGTCATATAGCGCAATAATCTCCGAAAAAACTATTCGGATCGGAAGACTATAGCATATACATAGCTGCCACACAAACTGACCGAACAAAGTTCTTTTGAGAATTCATTTGCATATGTGAAGAGTTTTATAGCTTTTTATAGCTAGCTCTGCTTAATATAATATAAAATTAACCAATAAACCCGTTATAACGATTTCAACGTAAAATCATAAACATGTTAGCAACACTAGTAATCGCTCTACTGCTTCCAACCATTTGTAACGTTTTGTCTGACTTACCTGTAATATTTCATTGCATACGAAGAGGCGCAGACGTGCCGACCAATCCAGGTAGGTTTCCAAATTGCACGTTTTCTTCGGATCCTGGACGCCGGGTGGGCCGCCGGACGTGCTCGGTTGGTCCCACTTTTTCTGCGCAATAACGAAGAGATAAGAAGAAGAAGAAAAAGATGAAAACGAGGCATGAAAATTTATGAACACACATACATATATATATGTATATGCATTTATATGTATAATAGTGAGGCGAGTAAGTGCAAGCAGCGGTACATACGAGATAATGCCGGTGAACACAATGCGAAGAAGAATTGCTAATAAGTTTATTTTACACGCTCTCTGACTCGGCTGAAGAGCTGACCAACGAAGCCAATGTCGCTGTTGAATCGCACTTGAACTCCACACACGGATTTACACACACGCAGGCAGCCACAGGCACGGCTTTGGACGGCACGGCAAACAGCAAAAGCTGCCTTTCATTGCGAATTGGCGGTCTCACCTTTTACCTTTGTTTGCGTGTCGCTCCACGCTGTGTATGTGTGTGTGTGCGTGTGCATGGGTGAATTTAAATGAAGTGGCAACGAACGGTAATAAATTTGTAATTCTTTTAATTAAAAAGTGCATTGGGACAGATCTTTTGCATTGCGAAAGCAGGCCGTCACTTTAATCAGATTACAAGTGAATACAAAAATATAAATTGTAAATAAGTAAGCACAAGCAATGCACACACACACACATACACACAGTCAAATAAACACAGGAGTACACTTACATATATATAAGTGCAAACCAAGGTAAATACGAGCGACAGCAAACTCAAAGCTCGACAGCAGCAGTCAGGCCCAAATACATTTCTGATTACATGCGAATTACGTAAGCAGTCTTAAATTTGCTCTGCCGCTTTTAATTAAATTTGGTTTGCACCAGGTCACGAACACACATACACACATATGTATACACAGACGAATTTGTTGGATGAAAGATCTAAAAGAGTTATTAATTGCGTTTGCGTCAAAGGTGTGTGTGCCCAGACATACATATGTATGTGTGTATTGAGAGGTATTTACATGCACACATACATGGTAAGCAGCTTGCAACCAGATACAGCAAAGAAGCTTACACAATATTGGGTTATCCATATACGAAGGGAGAACTTGCAACGGTAGGCCTGTTGCAAATGTACTCAAAATTATTGGGTTATTCAAAAAATAATACAAATTTTAATTCTTTGTGATGAAAATGAGAAAAATTTTAACTTTGGTTGCACTGAAGCTACAATGCATAATTTTCGGACATCTTAGTAATGTCTTGGCTTATAATCTGTCCAAATTTTCATGAAGATACTTTGACAAATTAAAAAGTTTTGATCAGCCAGTACTATGGTAGCTATATGCTATATAGTGAACCGATTTCAGCAATTTGCTGGGATATGGTACTACTGCTTTATATTATAACTTATACAAAATTGCGTGAAGATATCTCATCAAATTGAAAAGTTTTTCATACAAGAAGTTGATTCCGATCCTTTAGTTTATATGACAGCTATATGGTATAGTGAACTGAAAAATTTCTTGGGATATAGCATAATTGGCTTCGAAAATGATCCATGTTAAATTTCGTGTAGATATCTCGTCAAATTGAAAAGTTTTTCATACAATCACGAAACCAAGCGAGATCGTCTAGTTTGTATAGCAATGTATTGAATTATTCGCTTCGCTATTTGTCAAATATATAGTATGAGTCAACTGCTCATTCTCAAAAATTTTCAAAAGTTCACTTAGCGATTGACATTGCTTTTTTGGCACTCAATTTGTTTCCATTCACAACTAGCTAAAATTTATTTCACTAACAACATTTTGACCTCTCTGGCACACCGTTCTGAAAAATTCTCTTTCTCACTTTTTATGTTCATGTGCTGGCCTATGAGTCATTTCCGTAAGTAAATTCAATCAATGCATCAAGTGAAATTTCCATGCAGAATGTGGTTTCTGCATAAATCGAAGCACTTTGATAGTTGAAATTGAAAAATTTATTGAATGCAGTTGCATGGCCCTTGAGCTTTGGACAATTAAAGAAGTATCTCATATGCTAGTATGTACATATATTCGTCAATTGTACGTAGACTCAAGTCAAATAAGCTAGCTAGTCCGTAACTAGTATGTAAAAGAGTTCAACTGGGCTGCTAGCTTTTTTTCCACAGAAAATAAATGGGCAACTACGGTCGGCTAGAAATCGACTCTATCTGTGCGATTGATGTGCTCGTCGAGATATTCAGCTTTGTGTGTAAGACTACTATTAAAAGTTCGTGTCTTCTGAAAACTCACGAGCGAAAGAAAGCCACGTGCCTCGTGCAGAGCTTTCTGCGGAGGTGTAGAGGGCTGTCAAGAATTCTACAGTACTGGTTGATGGTGTTTTGCTCTGCGAAACCAAAAAAAAAAAAATTGACCTCGTTTATGTTTACCAGGTTTTGATTGACGACTAGCATCCGCGTATTTGCGCAGTGTAGAACCTAGAAGATTTACTTGTCTTTGACAGAGTTCATCTTGCCACAATCGTAGCAGATCTTTCTGGACATTGTCCAATAACCATTCATTCTGTTAAGCAGTGTCTAGTCGGTCACGGACTGGCAAAGTTTTATGTAAGAAAATGGGGTAGATGCATATAGGCACTCTCTTCTCCATTATCCAGCATTGACAAGTTTGAGGCTGAAAAATTTCCGTAGCCGTACCAACGGCGAACCAGCAAACATAGCCGAATCTAATATTAGCAGCCTCAACAATTTTATGATAAGCACAAAGTGCTCCGTCGTTTTATGAGCGTATTTTTGATCGGCTTTACAGCAGTTTTAGGTATTCTAATGACCGGATATGAACGACTTAAGTGAGATTATTGTTAAAATCGACCTTTTAACCTAGTTTAACTGGCTGATTTTTAATTTTTTCTTGGAGAAGCGCGTAGATATTGTATGAGTTGCAATATTTTGGTCAATGACTTTTGTCATGCTAGTACAAAAGGTGCGCCAAACTATTTGATTAAATCTATACTTTTGGGGAAAATGTTGTGGGGATTTTTTTCAGCCTTTAATGTTTCTTTTTCAAAAAAATGTGATCTGTTCTGGCTAGTGCGATTGTAGTCAGGAAGTCGTGTGTTATTTGAAATTTGACTGCAGAACTGCCATAGGCATTGTTATGCATACATTTCTGTATATATGTGGATATATCTTTGTATATAAACATAAATCATAGTCAGTTAAAATAAAATATTGTGCTCACAGGAAGATACAGTTGCTCAAGCGCTTTCGAAAAATCTTACAAATACACCAACAAATTAGAAATACTGCAGGTTTAGTATAGAAAGGTTAGTGCATATAAACGTCTGTGTTATGAAACGGGTTAGGCAGGCATTCGGCCACGGCATGATTGCTTGTACCAAATCTTCATGTATCACTTTTGTTCGACTCAATATTACAAGTTGCAAATGCAAATAATAATAATTCATTGTTTTCATATTTCACCTGTTTGTCGAGCAGCACATTACTGCTGCATTGCAGAAACTCTTCGGGGCCAATTTGCTTTGCCAACTTTTTCTCCAGCCGACAGAGAATTTGTGCGTATTGTGAAGCGGTCGGGCAGTCTAATTTGTTGTGTTCAGGCTGAAAGAAAAATTTATAAAAATATATGTAAGAATTTGCTTGGGTAAATATTGTACTAAAAATGCACTCAATATTATTTTATTTCGTGTTTTCATACTTGTATACAGTTGCACTTCTCTAACACAAATCACCATAATTAACAAAAAAGTTGCGAGTTAGAAAGACTTAAATTAGGTAAGGAAATTTTTATGAAATTTGATTTCTATTGATAATTCCAGAGTTCGAGTTATTTAGGTTCAACTGTAATTTGCGTTTAATTGGAAAGAGCTGAACCAAGTTAAGGCATGTCTTTAGCAAGTTTGTAGCTAAACACATTTATATTGTCAGTGGAAAGCTTAATTGGCATGAAAATTGATTTGGCTGAGAACTATTTAAGCAACTATTGGTGAGTATGTTTGTATTTATTTGCGCAAAGAGGCAATTCGTACTAATCAGGTAAAATTCCTTACTAATACGTCAAAACATGTTCAATTAAAATGGGAATTTACTTGTTTAGAGTAAATATAATATATATATATATAAATATATGTATATATATAGAGCCCTGTTGGAAAAAGAATAGCAAGCAATAAGACTAAGTTGGGATTTTAATTAAAACGAGCAATGAATATTCGTAAGAGAGCCAGCAGCGGATGGCAGCACTAAATACACTTTGACACTCAATTTCAGAACTAATTTTTATTTTAACTTTGGCAATATGAACAGCAATACAACACTCGTGGGTTAATGATTTTCAGATTTGATTTTCTCTATTGCTCTTTATGAGTTACTTGAGATGTGGTTTAATATGAAATTAAGAATAAAACACTTTAAATCTGCTCTCTTAGTAATTGCTTGGAAAGCTGTTACCAATATTAAACTAAGGGTTAAATATTTTAATTTTCCTCTTTCTAACGATTTTCATATTATACATAGAGTCGCTTAAGGGTAAATGCTTGCAAACACTTCGGTATTTTACAAGAAGTACCAATGTAAAACCAAGGGTTAAATTTATTAAGTATTCCTAGATGTGGGTTTCGTATATCAATTGACAATCTACAAGTATACTTTTAATATATATTTGGTAAATGTAAATTTCTTACTCACCTTTTCAGTTGTACTTTGACAAGCGCGTAGATCTTCTTCATGTCTTTCCAAGTCAGTCAATTGTTTCAACAAGGCACTCAGTATTTCGGAAACTACACCTTCTAGATTTGTATTGGAACATCTGCAAAGCAAACAAAAGCACAAATATTGGTATATATATATATATATGATGCAATAATATAATATATCAATACTATTGATTGTAAGTTCAATTAGGAATAACTAATAAGGAACGTTTCAGAAATCACTGAAGTCAAAGGACAAATGCTAGTACTACAGATTAATTAGTAGAATAACTTAATTTCATAGGAAAATTGCAATGGCTTGGAGAAGTTAGTAGAGACCATTGCACAGGTGGCATCAAAAATTGGAAGTGTTTTTGTTTTAATGACAGTGCTTTAAACGAAAAGTTATATTTGTTAATTTGATGTTAGGTTTTTGAATAATGAAATGTTAGTATTTCTATTTAATTTTCGTTATGAAATAGTATATTTTATGATTTTTTAAATATGAACAGTCAAGTTTGTCATCGACAACAACATCAAAAGAGTGAAGTTGTTTGAGACAGCAGGCATCCTAAACAAACGAAATTATATAATATAATATTTAGATATGACAAAGCTCTGTATAAGGTGGATGCCACGCGTGAGCACTTGTGAAGAAAAACAACGACGTGTTGATGATTTGGAGTATTTGAAGATGTTTAATCCTAATGAATGAAACATGACTTCATCATTTCATTCCGAAGTCCAATCGATGTCTATCGGGACGATGATAGCTTTGAAAACACAACAGTCGATTGGGAAGGATACAGCGTCGCAATTGTGGGAAGCGCATGGAATAAGTTCTATTGACTCCCTTAAAAAAGAATGGCTCGTCAACAGTGACTATATACGTAGACTGGACCGTTTGAAGGCTTGAAGTCTGAAATCCAGGAATTTTGCTTCGAATTGCTATCGCATCCACTGTGCTCTTCAATCTCAACCCTAGCGACTATTTCTGTTTTCAGATCGCAAAAGAATGCCGGCTGGGAAGAAATTTTCATCGACTGAGGACTCGTAATTTTTTTCAGCTAAGAAACATGCGTTCCAGGTTTTATCAAGATACTCAAATTTTATTCAAGTTACAGCTTATATATTTATATATAACCCCATATCGAGCTGGTTAGTTTTATGTGATACATAAACCGTTAGGGGAATAAAACTATTATACTCTGCAGCAATATGTTGCAGGAGTTTAAAAATGGTATCGAAAAGTTGGTGGGTCACTATAATCAGTATATTGCTCTTGAAGGTACATGCTGAAGAAAAAATTGGTATTTTGCCAAAAAATTGTGTGTTTACTATGGCAGGCCGGGTACTTTTCAATTGACCTGTTAGAAATAATTTTCTATTAAAGACAAAAAAATTTGAATTTGGCTGAAATTAAGCTAGAGATTACGAACTTATTTTGAATCAAAAAAAGGGGGAAATTGGTGCTATAAAATATATTCACAAACAACTTACGAGAGCTCGACACTTTGATAAGGTTTATAAAAATTAAACTAAATTTTCCAAAAATTCTTTAAAAACTACTTGTAAGAGAGTAACACCTCTGTTTTCTTTCTCTGTTTAAATGTTTGCTGATTAACTCAACGTTTTTATGTATGAAACAGTACCACTTCTTTTCTTATCTAAGTTCTCCATGATACAAGAAAAAAAAAAATAATTCAACAGTAATTAAAATAAAAATCAATTGTGAGTTAATATATTCATGTACACTCATGCGCTGGCATAGAGAGCTTAAGTAATTTGTAGTACTTACCTGGCAACGATATGTTTAACATGGCCCATCATACGTTCGTCGCGATAATCGTAGGGGAACTTTTGCGTCCACTCGGCTAGTAATGCGACTAATGATTCTAACGACCCGCTATCAGGTACCGAGGATAATAATTTGCCAAGCAGTTCATGGGGTCGTAAAAATAAACGTGACGATAATAAAAATGAGAATATAAATTCCTGCAATCAGACAAAGCGCAGAGCAAAGGAACAGTTAGCAAATAGCGTTATTTATATAATGAAGTGTAACAAATAGCAATATATGTATACTTATGTGTAGATGTGTTTGTGTGTGAGCATATTTATTTAGTTGTAATGAGATACAGTAATGGAAATATATGCGGTACGCGATACCAAGAAGGTTAGGTCAAGTTGGCAACACTTACAACGTTGTGGCAAGGAAACACACAAGTTCATTTATACTTTTACTCTGCATTTATACTTATATCTATGTATATATAAATAGATATATATGAATATATGTTTGTATGTAGACATGTGTTCGTTTTCAGCTAATGCGGTCAGTTGTCAGCCGCCAGGCTGTGCAATTACAAGTGGCGTTGCTTAAATGGCTCAAAGCGTTAAATAGGCTTAATTTATTTGTTCCCGCCACACACACACACAGGGCTACAACTACACGGACGGCGCTCGCCGTCTTGGCTTGTGCTCTGCGCTTGGCAGCAGACAGCCGTTCTGACTCTATTGACTATTCCACTTGGCGTGTGTGTGTGTGTATGTGCGCGCTTGTTTGGTTGGTAGTGTGAAGGCTAAACCTAGCGGATTTGTTTTGCAAGAATGAATTAATTATTTCAACACGCTGTGCGCCTAATGTTATGCTAGAACATTTGTATGGGTGTCTTATTGTATATGTATACGTGTAATTGTGTAGGCATATGTGTAATTGTGTATGTATATATACAACTGTGTTAAATTCCGGGTGCCAATTATGCTTTTGGACTGCGGACACATTTTTTCTGCGCATTGTGTAGCTGTTCGCTGACGTATGGCAGAAACTGGACTTTTCGCTACCAAGCATTTGGCAACAAACGGTTGTAAGTTATAAATGAGTGGAACAAATATTTAAAAATTTTAGAGTTTGAGGATAATGGTAAAATAAAAGTTTTTAAAAGTGAATTCCGACAGTTTTTGAGGCCTATATTTTTTGTTGGCTTGAAAATTTAAAAAAAAATCGCCACTAAGCATTTAAGTGTAAGTATTATTTTGAACAAAGATAAATTATTTTTGAATCAAGTTTTTTAAAAATAAGAAAGAACGGTAAATATGAATGTATAGAAGCTATAATACCCTTCACAGATGCATTTCTTACAGTATGGATGGGTATAAAAAGGTTTTTACTTGATTTTATTTGGTCAGTTTGTATGGCCGCTTTATGAATAATGAACTAATGTGAATAATTTTTTCGGAGATTGCAACTTTGCTTTTGGCAATACTCCATCTAGAATTTTGTGTAAAAAAGTTTTGCATGCAAGAACTTGATTTCGATCGTTTTGTTTGTGTGGTGGATATATGCCATAGTGGTTCGATCTTAAACATTTCTTCGGATATTACACCTTTGGTTCAGAAAATAATTTGTTTCGCATTTCGTAAAGATATCTTGACAAATAAAAAAGTTTTCCATACAAAGATATGGATAAGATTCTGAACGATTAATATTGTATGGCAGCTATATGCTATAGATATTCGATCTGAAAAATTTTTTCGGAGATTACATTATTGCCTTAAGTGATTATTTTTGCCGAATTTCGGGAGTAAAGTTCTTCAAATATAAAAGTTTTCCTTATAAAAGCTGGATTTTGAGTGCTCAGTTTGTATGGCAGCTATATGGTAGAGACTTTCGATCCGAACAAAATATTCGGAGATTACATAAGTGCCTTGGAAAATTATCCATGTTGAATTTCGTGAAGATATTTTGGTAAATAAAAAAGTTTTTCATACAACGACATGATCTTGATCGTTCAGTTTGTATGGCAGCTATACGTTATAGTTGATTAACATGAACAATTTCTTCGCAGATTGCACTATAGTCCTAGCTAATTGTCCTTGCGAAATTTCGTTATTATATTTGATCAAATAAAAAAGTTTTCCATGCAAGCACTGAGTTCAATCGTTCAGTCTATATGGTAGCTAAATGCTTTAGTAGTCCGATATAGACGATTTCGACAAATGAGCAGCTTCTTGAGTAGGAAAGGATGTGAGCAAAATTTGGAATTTATATCTCGAAACTATAGAAAGTATAGACACACAGACGGATTTAGTTAAATCGACTCAAGTTGTCACACTGATTATTCTGAGACAGTAACTGAACTTGGGTTCTTAAATTAATATTTAAACTGCAGCCACAATGAACACACAATCTATTTCTTTTCAATATGCCTTGCATATTTTTAATTACCCACATCTACAGTTATTTGCATGCCTTAGCAAAGTTATTGGCCGTCTCCCAACGCTGCATTTGAATAATTCATGTCCTACTAGTATTTGCAATGAATTATTAATTATACTGTGCAGCATCAGCAGACGAGCAAATGTCAAACACTTGTTGTTGCTGCACTTGTTGGCGGTGAGTTATGTAATTCTAGATACATACATATATTTAAGGCGTTGCAACGCCCCACAACTAACGCCGGCTAAAGAGGATATAAGTGGCGGGTTCAAACAAAAAAATACAAAGACTAAAGAAAAAAACGAAAAAGAAAACACGATTATCATTAAGTTGAGGAAAAAGTGAATTCTGTATTTTTTTCACATTTTTACGCGCCAACCTCTCGCATTATTCCTCGCTACTTGTGTTCTGCTTGTGCATGTGTAAGTGTGTGCGCCTTTTTTTTTGCTGTCTTCCGCTTGGCAATGTATATTGCGATAATTGCAATTTAAGGTTGGCAAGTTTCTTCAACTTCATTCATTCAGTCCGCAGCATGGACAGCGCGCCAACAACAACAACTTGCCACATTTGCGGTTGTGCATTTGTAAATTTTGGCCCTAGTTAGCATTTCAGTGTTTCGGTGTTTTTCTTATTGCCGCTCGTTTGCGCCCGGCCATTTCTAATTAGGCAAATGGCAGAAGGCCGCCGATGGCGCCGACAATGTTCGTGGGAAATTAAATGCTGCCGTTTTTTTGAGTAACTGTGAAGCCAAATGTTGGAAATGATGAAGATATTGTGTGAGGTTATGTTTTGTACTTGTTGGTTTGATGTTTCCTACACACTTTGGCTCCCACTCTCTTCCGCTCACTCATCTCGTTTAGCAGTTGGAATGCTCGCCTAAAAGTTATGTTATAACAATAACAATTCAACTTTTAATTAATCCAGTTTTAATGTATCCTTCCGATTGCTTTGCGCTACTCAATCAGTTGTATCTTGAGCTTGAGAGCTTGATAACTTTTTTAAAAAAAAAAACGCATAAAATTTGCAAAATCTCATCGGTTCTTTATTTGAAACGTTAGATTGGTTCATGACATTTACTTTTTGAAGATAATTTCATTTAAATGTTGACCGCGGCTGCGTCTTAGGTGGTCCATTCGGAAAGTCCAATTTTGGGCAACTTTTTCGAGCATTTCGGCCGGAATAGCCCGAATTTCTTCGGAAATGTTGTCTTCCAAAGCTGGAATAGTTGCTGGCTTATTTCTGTAGACTTTAGACTTGACGTAGCCCCACAAAAAATAGTCTAAAGGCGTTAAATCGCATGATCTTGGTGGCCAACTTACGGGTCCATTTCTTGAGATGAATTGTTCTCCGAAGTTTTCCCTCAAAATGGCCATAGAATCGCGAGCTGTGTGGCATGTAGCGCCATCTTGTTGAAACCACATGTCAACCAAGTTCAGTTCTTCCATTTTTGGCAACAAAAAGTTTGTTAGCATCGAACGATAGCGATCGCCATTCACCGTAACGTTGCGTCCAACGGCATCTTTGAAAAAATACGGTCCAATGATTCCACCAGCGTATAAACCACACCAAACAGTGCATTTTTCGGGATGCATGGGCAGTTCTTGAACGGCTTCTGGTTGCTCTTCACCCCAAATGCGGCAATTTTGCTTATTTACGTAGCCATTCAACCAGAAATGAGCCTCATCGCTGAACAAAATTTGTCGATAAAAACCGAACCCGAACCGAACACTGATTTTGGTAATAAAATTCAATGATTTGCAAGCGTTGCTCGTTAGTAAGTCTATTCATGATGAAATGTCAAAGCATACTGAGCATCTTTCTCTTTGACACCATGTCTGATATCCCACGTGATCTGTCAAATACTAATGCATGAAAATCCTAACCTCAAAAAAATCACCCGATAGTTGTGTCCTCAGCTGTTTTGTTTCACATCCTGTGTTTTTTTCTTTCTCGAAGTATTACTCATAAAGGTTTAACTAATTGCTACACGCTAAGATTCATAAGGTTTTGCTTTTAATTGGCACTTTTATTAAATTAGTTTCTATTTTTTTATTAATTAGTTTTACTTCATTAAGGTTAGAAGGACATAAGCGTTGGCAGACAGTGAGCTTTGATTGTAAAGAAGAATGAAGAGATTTAACAAAAATATAGTCTATAACTATTATATTTGTCAGGATTTCGTTTTATTTTTAAAAATATCTATTGACGAAGTGTTGAGCTGTTAAAAGTTTTCTCTTCAGGCGAGCTATGTACCATACAGTTTTATAAAGGAATTCCTTAGATAAATTAGTTTAACAGTTTTTCGATTTTTTTTTATATATTTGAGATTACTATGCACGTATTTTTATATATTTGGGTATTTTTCTGGAACACTAAAGTTGTTGATATTAGTTCACCGAGATTCATACCCCTGTTTATTGAGTATTAAAAATGAAAACTTCTGGACTCTTTAAAATATGTATCAGCATGAGCTGAGCCGATATAGCCATGCCGGTCCTTCCATATGTCTACGTGAACTTAATCCTCAGTCTTTGAGATATCTATCTTAAAAATTAGGTTAGGTTGAGAGGTTGGTTCTAATTGAGATCACACCTGGAAAGTTCAGTTTTTGAGATATCTTTCTGAAAATTATTTTTTCTTTAACCGAAGTAAAGCCGTTTTATTACTTTATATTAATACCGTGTATCAGGTGTGAAGACCTTGAAATCGTTCCAGTCGTACTTGAGTTATAAATGAAGTATATTAATTTAGGTTTTGTTAAGAGTTGATTCTAATA